GGGGGGGGGGGGGGAGCAGTTTAGGCCGCAGGGGGCTGAGAAGGGGAGAGGCCAGAGGGCGCACACCTGGATCCTGGGAAATGTTTCCAGGGAGCTCGGCTGGGAAGGAAGGGGGAGATCACAAGGCGCCACTTCTGCTCTTCTGAGCCTTGAGGAAACACAAGCAGGCTTGTAGCCTGGGGAGCGGGAACAAAGGGGACTGAAGGACTGCAGGCGGGAGAGGCCATGCAGCCCGGGGGCAGGGACAGCACGAGGGAAGGGCAGGAACACAGGCCAAATGGGTGAACTGGCTCTGCCTAGAGGCCGGGAAGCGGGGCGAGCTCCCACCTGCCGGCCTCTGCCCGCCCCGTAAGAGGCTGAAAATTCGCTGAAAATTCGCATGAGGTTGGGAAAGGGGAGAGCCAGCTGTTGAATTTTCAGGAATTCTCTGAGTGGTTGTTGAACACAGGCGCTGAAACAGAAGCCCTGGTTGGACATGTACAGCACGCCACTGGGTAGGGGGCTGGGGGAAAGGGGGAGCTCCCGAGGGGGTGAGGCCGGCAGGAGGGCCCCACGCCAGCCAGCGACCCGGGAGGCGCCGTCGGGCCCAGCGCTCCACAGGCCGGGACGAGCAGCAAGGACCGGGCTGCATGAGCTGAAGCCCGGGCGCCCGCAGGGTGAGTGCGGCCGAGGGCGGAGAGCAAAGGAACTGGGGGTTAGACCGGCAGAGGCTGAGGGAATGAGCCCTGGAGTCCTGCCTGAACCAGCAAGAAGAGGCCAAGAGGAAGAGCAACGGGAGAAATGGAGGCGCTGAAGGGGCTGGGGCCTTGATGTGATGAGGGAGAAGCAGGAACAGGCCGTAAGGGATACTGCAGTTTTTGCTTTTAAAGGCGGAGCTTTTGTCAGCTTCACAGTGACAATATCAGGGCTGTGGCTCTGGGTGTGGGCCTCGGAAGCAGAGGGGGTGAGGGTTACTGCTCTGGTCTCTGTAGATGCGAAACTCCTGGAACTGTAAGGCCTCGGTGTTGGTTGGGTTGTCCAAGGGGACATTTAATTGCCCAGAAGGCTGGCAGGTCTTGAGGCAAGAATGGGGATGGTAAGCCATTTTGCTGGTGATGAATGTGTCACTCACATTCAAGAGGTTGAGTGACTTGCTCAGGGTCACACAGTCAGCAAACGGCTGGACCCCAAGCACCCTGGCTTTCTCCTGGCCCCTCCGCAGCAGGCTGGCCTTCAGGAGCTCTGCCGGAGCCCCCGCCCGGAGAGTCGGGTTCCAGCTCCGTCTGGATCCCAGCTCTCCACGCGGGCCGAGGACCACCAGCAGCGACAAAGCTTCCTTCCACTCCAGGCATCTTTGTGGAGAGCAATTTGGCTGACATTCCCCATTTCTTCATTTCCCCCATGGAACTTACGAAAGCCTCCTCAGAGGACAATGGTCTCCTTGTGGACTTTGGGCAGGAGGGGGATGTTATAATGGCGCTTCGGTTACGTTTTTTAAAGGGAGTCCTTAGAGATCTACACTAAAATATTTACAGATGAAATGCTAGTATGTCTTGGATTTATTTCAAAATAATCCAGGCCTGGGAGTCGGGGGAGCCTGGGTAGGAGTACAGAGCAGACAAGATTGGCCAAGGTTGACACTGGGTAGTGTAGTGGGGACGTGAGAGTTCACTGTATTCTTCTTTCTACTTGTGTATATATGTATATGGTTCGAAACTTTCCATAAGAAAAGCCATTTGTCTGATGGGTTGTTAGCAAAACACAGAAGCCATTGTGGGCTGCATGCATTGATGTAAATGCTCAGGATCAGGGAGGGGGTGATCTGAGAGTCCCCCTAAAGAGCTGCGCTCCACTCTGGGCCACATGTCCTAGGAAGGTCTAGAGGTGGCCAGGATGAAGGAATTCCACATTTTGACTTACTTNTTTAAAGGCGGAGCTTTTGTCAGCTTCACAGTGACAATATCAGGGCTGTGGCTCTGGGTGTGGGCCTCGGAAGCAGAGGGGGTGAGGGTTACTGCTCTGGTCTCTGTAGATGCGAAACTCCTGGAACTGTAAGGCCTCGGTGTTGGTTGGGTTGTCCAAGGGGACATTTAATTGCCCAGAAGGCTGGCAGGTCTTGAGGCAAGAATGGGGATGGTAAGCCATTTTGCTGGTGATGAATGTGTCACTCACATTCAAGAGGTTGAGTGACTTGCTCAGGGTCACACAGTCAGCAAACGGCTGGACCCCAAGCACCCTGGCTTTCTCCTGGCCCCTCCGCAGCAGGCTGGCCTTCAGGAGCTCTGCCGGAGCCCCCGCCCGGAGAGTCGGGTTCCAGCTCCGTCTGGATCCCAGCTCTCCACGCGGGCCGAGGACCACCAGCAGCGACAAAGCTTCCTTCCACTCCAGGCATCTTTGTGGAGAGCAATTTGGCTGACATTCCCCATTTCTTCATTTCCCCCATGGAACTTACGAAAGCCTCCTCAGAGGACAATGGTCTCCTTGTGGACTTTGGGCAGGAGGGGGATGTTATAATGGCGCTTCGGTTACGTTTTTTAAAGGGAGTCCTTAGAGATCTACACTAAAATATTTACAGATGAAATGCTAGTATGTCTTGGATTTATTTCAAAATAATCCAGGCCTGGGAGTCGGGGGAGCCTGGGTAGGAGTACAGAGCAGACAAGATTGGCCAAGGTTGACACTGGGTAGTGTAGTGGGGACGTGAGAGTTCACTGTATTCTTCTTTCTACTTGTGTATATATGTATATGGTTCGAAACTTTCCATAAGAAAAGCCATTTGTCTGATGGGTTGTTAGCAAAACACAGAAGCCATTGTGGGCTGCATGCATTGATGTAAATGCTCAGGATCAGGGAGGGGGTGATCTGAGAGTCCCCCTAAAGAGCTGCGCTCCACTCTGGGCCACATGTCCTAGGAAGGTCTAGAGGTGGCCAGGATGAAGGAATTCCACATTTTGACTTACTTAGCTCAGCTGGGGTGCTCAGCCTGAGAGGGAAGCCTTCGAGGGAGCAGGAAGAGCTGCTCTCCCCACAGGGCGGGCTGTCAGGGGAGAGGCAGCTGACCTGGGTGGGTCTGTGTCCACACCCACCTTGTGCTCAGGGGTCTTGGGCCAAATTTTCCCCCTGAGCCTCACCTGCCCTCTCCCAGGCCCTAACCTACCCCATTTCCCTCCCCCTCTCCCCAGCTTAGGCCAAGAGGGAGCTCTATGACCTTGTGGGCCAAGTGGGGATCTGCCAGCTTGAACATGCAGTCACGAACAGCATGAGTATGCTCCTCCCATTGGCCTAAAACATACTGTTCTTTACGTGTCTGTGATGAGATCGAACTTGGCTCCAAAACCCGTCGAGGGAGAAGGCTGGACTGAGGCTGCTCGCCACATCACACAGCACTAATCTCTCACATCTGGACAGAGCTTCGCCCTGGGCTCCCCCGCCCAACTGTCCATGAGCTCATCCAGGCTCCTGAAGAAAGCTGGGGTGGAACCAGGGCCAGGGCCCTCACAACCACCCTGCCCCACCACTCCCTCGCCCACGTGGGTCCCCACGGCATTGAGCTCAACCCAGGACAGCAGAAAACACACTGGACCCTGAGCTCTCGGCCCAGCTCAGCCATGAACCGCTGTGGGCCTGTGGGAACCTTTCCTCTTTGCCCTGAGCCTCTGCAGCCTCCTGTGAAACACGGATGGGGTAGGCCCGAGGCCCTGCCACCCAGATACAGCTCACCCATGGCACTGCTGGGTCTTCCAGAGTCTGCCAAGAGGCCTCAAAATTAGCCTCAGGGACAGAACTGGGATGAGGCAAGGACAAGTTGCTTCCTGGACCAGAACCTCCAGCAAGGCAAGATCTGGGTGGCTTCTATTTTTTTCTTTCTTTTTTTGAGCTTGTACACATACACACATACACACACACACACACACACACACACATCTTGGAGCCTTGGCCACCTCATCAGTAGAAGGCGCTTATGATAACACCCAGCTTTTAGGAGGGGTGGCAGAGGCTGAAGGACTACCGTGATCCACCTTGAGGAGCCAAGGCTGGTTCCCAGTCTTCCCTTCCTTCCTCTGCCCCGCCCTCCCTGCCCTGGCCAGTTGGGAAATGGACCTTCTTGGATGCCGGGTTGTTTTCCCTGGCCTGGATCCTGCTCAGGGCCTTTGTGCACCCTGGAGGGTGGCCAGGGGTGGAATGTCGCGCTGGTGAGAGCAGGCTGCCAGTAGAGGCCAGAAGCCCTGGGGAGGAGCTGGGCTGGCTTCTCCAGTGGACTGGACACAGGCACTGCTCCCCCGGGCGGAGGCAGGAAGTACAGCCCCCCTTACGGCAGAGGAGACCTTTGTTATCTGGGAGCCAAACACTAAGAAAGCGCCCACAACTCAAAAGATTCCCGCCATGCCAGGTGGTGACAAACACCTCAGTGGTGAGGCTGACAGGTGCCTCATGAGCCACCAAAGATACTCCTGTCACTGGGGGTTAATTATATTTGACCACATTCAATATAATAGAATAACAAATTTACCACATTTGATATTTGTATTAAAATTTGTGATTCATTCAAAACCATCAGTGGTTTTTGATTTTTTAAAGCAGAAGAACATTATTTTCAAACAATTATGTGAGGAACTCCAATCTGTGGAACTGCTCTGGCTGAAGCAGGAGAGGGACCCTCAGTCCCCTAGAGAGAGAGTTTAGATTCTGAGAAATATTTTTGTTTAGTTTGGTTTGGTTTTGTTTTGGGAGAGACATGTCCTGCTCCCTTGGTCTCGGGTCATTTTCCAGATGTGGTTGGAGCCTTGCCGATCACTCTGAGAGCACAGCACGGTCATTCCAGTACCTTCAGTATCTGGCTAAATTCATTTGTTGCTTAGGATACAAGCCAGGCTGCTGTAACAAAGAGGCCCCTCGGTTAGACACGGGTGTGTTTCTTTCTCATGTATCAGTTCAGCGGTAGACTGGCTGGTGGTCAAGGCGGGCAGGCAGCTCTGCTCCCTGACTGCACAGAAACCAAGATTCCTTCTGTCCTGGAATACTGTGTTTGTTAATCCACTGGATTATAATGTATTAGAACATTCCAAAACTCCCGTAATGTGGAGAAGGTCTAGGAAGCCATCTAAGATAACTAACCTCTCTCCACATGCTGTGAAAAGAACACAAGGCTGGGAATCGGAGGGGCAGTGCCACCTCCCCTACTTACTGACTGTGCTCTGCCTCTCGCTGGCTTCCCTGTCTGACAGGGATGTGCCCTGCTCCGTCTACCCCGCGGGATTGCTGTGTCCATCACAGGGGATCCTACGCTTGAAGATGCCTTGGAACTGCCAAGTGATGTACAAATGCCACATAGGGCACTGAAGAGGTGAGCTGAAGACTGAGCCGGTGGGTGAAAGCCCCCACGGCTCCCCTTCTACATGGAGTCAGTGCTCTTGGCTAGATCACTCCAACCAGCTCTCCTCAAGTTGGGGAGGCATCTGCCCTAGAACTAAACCCGTCCAGGAGTCCAAGAGGCGCTTGGGAGGGCTTCTCCTTCAAGCACAAAAGGGCTCAGTGCTGACCCAGCTCTCTGGGCTCTTTTAAGCCAAGCCCACTTGTTGGATCCTGGGTATCTTCACTTTGGAATGGGCATAACTGTACTCTATATTCAAAGCTACTCTTTTTTATTTTTATTTTTACTGTTGACACTATTACAGATGTCCCCCATGTCTCCCCTTTGCCCTCCTCAAAGCTACTCTTGATTTGTGATCACTTACTATGTGCCAAGCTTTTATGTGAGTGCTTAAATGCATTATCTCATTTCATTCTACCCGTGAGCTCAGTACCCTTATATCCATTTTTTATACATTAGAAAACCAAGATCAAAGATGTTGATGCCCCAGATTATACAGCTAGCAGGTGGTAGGGGCAGGATTTGAATCCAACCTGCCTGACACTGTCTCTACTGTGACCTGGCAGTGGTGTGACCTTGTGTAAGTTAAGGGCCTCCTACTTGGGGCCTCAGCTGCCTCGTCTATAAAATGAGGGGCTGGACATGTGTGGGGCAAAGGGGACCTATACACCTGACACCCTTGCAGTGGTCTTGAGGACCCACAAGAGCCCAAATGTGTGCCTTGGGCCCAACTG